GCTAAGACCTGCTGTGCATCCTATAATACAATCCCCCACAATGTAAGGCCTATTGTCTTGTATAATATTACTAGAGCAAACATAGAGCACTGTGCATTCATAAAGGACGTAGCAGCGGCTGCAGACGCCTGTAAAATGGTGCAGTACAATGTGTACACTGTGTCTCTTTGGTATGATTAGCACTGAGCACTATCATCATAGAAGCTGCTCCACGCTGCTGCATCTCCACACTGGGGATTTATAGGTGCTGATAAGAAAATCTTGTTGTTGTCTTTCATAATTTATGGAGTTGACAGTGTTCACATTTTCAGAGGCGGCATGGCTATAGGGCTAGGGCTTGTGCAGAGTTGAAGGTAGATAGGATTTATCATTCCTCTTCATATTGGCAGTAAATATAAGCAGCCAAAGCGTTTATGAGAACTGTAAAGCTGGTTAAGAAGTTGGACCAATTGATCCGCTAAAGCCACCAGAGGACAGTGCTCCACACATCTGTAAATCTAAGCAGGAAAGGATGGAAAAGCCATGTCAAAAATACCCATTATCTAATATTTATACAGGAAGACAGGGCTGTCAGATTAAGCATTGCCTGGAGGATTTGGTTAATTTTAGATTGTAAAAAAGTCTAAATCAAGGAACAAACTTTAGTGCTGACTTGATAGAAAAAAACTGCGCAGAGCAAAACTAATCCATTTCTGGACAGACTATTTACCACTAGCCGATTTCATCTCTTAATTTCCATACAAATGTAAAACTAGGCAGGCATGGAATCTCGTGTGAATCTTAAATGAATTCAATTGTTCCCCCTCACACACAGTCCAGGGTTGGCCCAGGGCTACAAGATGAGTGCTGCACAAATCCGCAATTTCAAAATAAAAGTCTACTTTGATTCAAATCAGACTGACAGGGCATTGTTTCATTTTACATTTAAGAGAATAATTCAACCATTTTTTAACAGTAAAAATGGCCAGAGCACATAGAGGAAGTTTTCATACAAGCTTTTGCATAAAGTACAGGTCAAAAAGAAGAAAAGCTTATGAACCTACAACCTCTCTAACCATCCAATTACACATGCACACCAACAGATGGCCAGATGGGTGAAGTGTCTTGTGTCCAAGGACACAACCCAACAGTAAGCTGTATATACTCTTCATAGAGCTACAAAACAGTGATTATTTTCTATCTTTTAAGATGACTGAAAACAAATTATTTGCTCTTCCAAATTCAAGTTTAATTAGTTCAAGTTGAATTAATAAAATTTTAACACAATTTTAGCCTGATTTTGCTTTTAGATTGAAATAGTATAGCACAACTGTTATAAATTGGCTTTCAATCAAGTTCTTAGAAATATTCTTACTAAAATAATCACAAATGAAATCATATTTAAATGATATGTTAAACAGTTACAGTAGGAAGCTGTAAGTAGCCCTCGCCATATGGTCTGTGTGCCCTCATTGTAATTCTCCGGTTACAAAGTTCACTGCTTTTATTTTTCACCTTTAACTGGCTTGATTCACCAGTGTCTCCACAACGACAGAGACGGTTTTGACCCAGTTAATCTGCATGACATCTTTTAATGTGAGAAGCTTTTATTGCCGGGAATGCTGCCATGCCATCCAGCTGGCGGTGGTGCTGAGGTTCTGAGCATATGCCTGAGGAAAATGAATAATGCATGCTAGGTTTTTTAAGCGAGTTTTTCTCTAGCTTTTCCTTAAGGTACTGAAGACGAAAAGGTGCAGGCGTACACTGCTCCTCTCGTGTAAAACGAGACAGCGCAGTACCTGCAGATATTCACAGTTTAATCACAATTTAGAGTTTATGACAAAGTTAACAGCCTTCACTGGGTATTTGTGCCTCACTGTATCCTGTTAAAAGTGATGTTTCAGTCTTTTGAATGTGCTCGGCGTATTCCGGAGTCTCAAAAGAGCTGTATTAGAATTGGATAGCATCCGTTTTGTAGTCATCAACTGCCTATTATTAAGAACATTCTGCTTTCATTCTAACATGTAAAAATCAGTGTGTTCACTTTAAAAAGCTCTTCACTGCTATCAAACCAGTGTAGCATAGTAGCACTACACGTATAACTTTTGAAGATACTCAAAGTTCTTTTGTTTATTTGTCTTATTGCACCATTAACGTAATTCTTTTTATGACCTCTCCTAAAGTACAACCATTTGCATTTGTCTTGCTGGAGAATGACACAGCTTGATTCAATGGTGGGCCAAACTTGTATCATGGAATTGTTAAAGGTATATATTATGCAAAATTGACTCTTGTGAGCTTTAAGCCATGTTATAATGTTGTGTTTCATTTCATTCACACATGTTTGAGTAATCCTTTATTATACCTGTCAACATCTCCAAATCTCAAAATGCGCTGTTCCACCTTGTGATGTCATGTAGTGGTAGTTCAAGTTAACAGCTACTTTTTACCTCTTTTTAGTGGAGATTGGCAATTCCATGTCTGAAGTGATCCAAATAATTCCACTGAAGGTCTATATATTACCACTTCCTATATTACCACATGGCATCACACGGAAGAAGAGTGTTTTCCATTTGAGAGAAGAACCTAAATACACAAGATCTGTGTGTTAAACATGTAAATGAAACAAAACAAAACTCCAGGTATGTTTATGATGAGGAAACATTATAATATACAGTAGATCAGAAAATAGCATAATATAGGCCCTTTAATCATTAAAAACATGGGAAATGTACAATATTACATTCAAGCTGGTGCTGCAAGACTAATTTGTCCTCTCTTTATCGTTCGACTGCACCAAAACACAATGAAAAATGAGCAGAGATTTGAGCGAGCAGTGTATTGTCCACAGAGTTAGTGCTTGCATTGTCCTAGGCTTAATGAAATAGCAGCACTCTTCTTGATTTTCATTAATAACCTTCATGTTCACTCGTAGCCTTTATTCAAGAGAAAAGGACTCAGGCAATTTTTATTACAGATTGTGCTATATGCAATCTATCCCCAGTGGAGAAGGGGCTACATTATTCATTGTGTAGTGTGTGATTTGACCACGGTGCTTCAGAGAGTGCAGTTAAATGAAAATATTTCTCTTGAATTATTAGAAAGGTTTAATTTGTCATTCTTCTGCTGACATAATGATCTCTATATGTAAATCTTTCATTGTTTTTATCTTGAAAATGAGCCGGGACAGTCATGTAAGGGCACAGTTAGCAGGGATGTGTCTGAGCTAGCATGTGGTGGAGCTAAACGGAACAATTGAATTAATGCCAAGTGCAATAACATCATTGTGCTGATATTTTAATCATGTGGATATGATTCACTTTATTATAATACTGACAGGTCAATATGCAAATGTACATTCACAAAATCTGGGTTATATTTATTCTTGCTGACTGTAGCTAAAGGTTAATGAGACAACCTATTGACCTTTGGATGTAAAATAAAAGCTGTATTGAATACATTAAGTACCTACATTCTTGCAATACCTGCTGTATTTTACGGACTATTGAGTGCACCTGAATATAAGCTGCATCAACTAAATTTTAACAACATTTTTTAATTGTACATATATAGGCCGCATCTGAATATAAGCCGCAGGTGTCCAAAATAACTGTTCAAAACACAATCAAACAATCACCCCCGTCTCTCTCTGCTCTCTACTGCGCATGTCTCCTGCAGAAAGAGTCGCTGTTCTGTCTGTATCATGTCAGTGTCTTGTAGGACTTCAGCAGATTTCAGACTCTTTCGGGGGCTAGGCTAGTTCTTTTGATCAGGTATGAGTGGGTGTCTGGCTACTGAAGTTTGAGATCATTTACGCATACGACGTATCCCCCTCACTTATGTTCATTTAGCATCATAACTTATTTTATCACAAATTATTTGAGTGTGCTGAAAATATCGCTAGCTAGTGTAGCAACTTCATGTTAATCCTAGATCCATGTGTTAACCGCACAAACACGGTGCTTTCTGCATTCAGGCTGTGCGTATCTAGCCTGATTCATCAGCCGGTTACACTTCATAGAAACCGTCTGACGTCGCAGCATTAGGATTCATTTGCTCAACGGTAGGCGAGTATTTTTTTTTTTTCATTTAACCAATCGCTGCTATTTGGTGGTGACATATGTAATGTGCCACTAAAGGGAAGGGCAATATCATCTTTCCCCTTGATAAAATTCACCAAACATTCTCTTTATTACGGCTTTTCCTCGATCTCGGGAATCGGTGCCAACACAGAATGTATGCCGCTTGGTGCCCGAACTGGCACTTCCGGGGGTTTTGCGAACCGTTTACTGTATTCCGATTCCTGGCCTAGTCACTGGAGAGAAATGAAATTGAGTGGAGGCACTAGGTGGCGCCAGCCTGGCTAGCGTGTATCCACTGTGTTGCCAAACCATAGACTGTATATATGAATGAACAAAGAATCCGTCCATATATTAATGCTGCATCATTTTATTAGCTGCAGAGTTCAAACTGTGAGAAAAAAGTAGCATCTTATAGTCTGTAATTTATGGTATTTTTGCATGTTGATTTCTTAAAGGTGCAGTGTGTAACGTTTTGCCAACTGCTTGACCCCATGTTATTGATTTGCCTGCAATGTTCCACAGTATGACAAATAGGTGTTGTAATAGTGTAAAAAATATGTATCATACAAAGGCAATATAATATATAAAACAGAAATAAAATATATGTTTCCTTTTTTTTTCTTTTTTTTTTTCTCTTTGGAAATACCACCATTTTAATTTATACCCCTGTGATCTTTCTTGGTATTTTGTTACAAAGGTCTTTTAATTTGGAGTAGCAATACCCATACTTGGATGCTGACTACTTCACTTATGCAGTGGACAGACAGAGCCCTCCTATTGCTTAACAACCTGAATCCACGCCTGACTATTTTTAATGAGACGACCTTTAACCTTTTGGATTCCAGCACCTTCTTGGAATTAATCATCACCCCTTTAGTTCCTTACATGTTTGTTATTTCTGGCCAGGCTAATTCCTAGGTGCTCGTCTTTTGTTTCCAGGTTTCTCCATCCTGCAGGCCATCATGGAGGCGGCTGTGGCTAACAACTGGCAGGTGACGGCGCGCTCGGTCAGCAGTGCCACAGACGCAGCAGAGTTCAAGCGCATTATTGAGGAGATGGACAGGAGGCAGGAGAAGCGTTATGTCATTGACTGTGAGGTGGACCGGATCAACACCATACTGGAGCAGGTAGGAGCAGTGCGCACTATTTAAACTAACACCCACACTCACACTGAGCTGCTCCACTGAGTCACGCTCGCTACAGGATAATTGCAGGACACAATTTTCTAAGCGACAAACAGTAAAGAGGCCTTGTCAACATATGTAAATCACATGGAGTTTGATAGACACAGAGCTGATGGTTGTGGCTAATTACGCATTTGTCTCTGTTGTTTTTAAGAGTGGTTTGTGTACAAAGATGTTCCACAATAAGGTTTAATTTACGGGTTGTTTTAACAGCAAAATCACTATCTTTTCTTTTCACAGTGGGCTGTTTAAATCTGTATGACACATTTGCAGGAAAACTTTGTTCCTCTATGTCTATTGAAAATGTATGACTATTAAGTTTAGTTTGTCTGTTTGGAAAAATAAAAATTAAAAAAACTTGAGGGGGAGTTACGTGTTGGCAGTGAAAAAACACAAAAGAAAGCATCATTACTTTAAAATACTTCAAAAGTACAGAGTCATGGTCCAAGATGTTTCACAGGTTATGAAATATTTCTTAAAGGGCCCATATTACACTATTTTCTGATCGATGTTATAATGTTTCCTGCACACCTGCACATTTAGGCTGAATTCTTCTCTCAAAGAGAAAATACTGTTTCACCTTATGATGTCATGTGGTAATACAGGAAGGAAGTGCTCCACTGTGTTATTAAACTCTATACACCTTCACTAAGAACCACTATGAATCATTTTACCTTTTCTTTACTGAAGAAAAGGTAAATCATAGCTGTTAACTTGAAAACTACCACTACATGACATCACAAGGTGGAGCAGAGCATTTTGAGCTTTGGAGATGTTGACAGACTAATAATCCAGGACTACACAAACATGAATAAATGACACAAAACACAACTCCAGGTCTGTTTTTGATGAGGTAACAACATTATAAATGGTCACATTTTTCTATAGCGCTTTTCCACCTTCAAGGCACTCAAAGCACTTTACAACAAGGAACCACTCACCCATTCACACACACACATTCAAACACCAGTGTACGCAGACACTGTGGGCAAGGTGGGTTAAGTGTCAGAGATGTTTTTCGAAAAGTTACTACCTACATCTGCTATCCCAATACTTCTCTAAAAGCTGTTGTCACTTTTATAGGCTTAGATTTTGGTTTGAAGGCAGATGAGATATTCTGTACTGCAGCATGTGACGATAAACACCAATATCTTCCTGAATCCCACCTGTTTGAACAAATTGTCTGATATTACTGAAACATAATGCCTGGCTGGTTTAAAACCATAGATTAGGAGACAGGCTGAGGAGCTGGAGGAGCAGAAGCCCAAGTAGCCATTTGGACGGAGCAGTGATGAGGCTGCTGTCGTTTTAATCCGCTCCTAACAACCCCCCGAAGCCCCCCAGTCCCTTGCACACGTCCACCGCCTCAGGACAAAATGAAAGGTCCACCAATCCTTGTAGTAGGGGAAACACAATTACCATGAATAGATGAGTGCTTATTATACCATGCATCTCCTCCCTGGCTCGAGACTGCAGCCTGCCGCTCCAATAGGATTCTCCACTCTGCTTAGCAATATCCCCTCAATGACCATTAGTTTCACGTGTTGTTTCATTAATCTAATAATGTGATTCAGCAGACTGTTGAAACTATTGTGCTTTTTGTAATTAGCTGTATCTAATTTTGTTTCCTGTTGTGGAATTTGCAAAAATCAGCTTACTTTTATGAAAAATGCACAAGCCTGTTTTATTAAGCCCCCATGTGAAGCTTCTAATGTTATGTCTGTCTGTCTCATTAATTGGATTTAGACCCCCAAAACAATTAGGATTTGTTAATTATTTCTTTTTGTGTCTTCAATATATTCAGCTCACACAAATCCCAAAATTCACCACACAGATTCTTAGCCAGCAGCAGTTAGTAAATGTCAATAGTTTTGAAATCAAATCAGACAGAGGCCTTAGCTTAGATTGCTAAAAACGTTAGATTACAACATCAAGGCATATGAATACAGTGTTAGTTTAAAAAAATAGGCAAAGGTCAGTACTGCAAACAGTTCGGGGTTGTCAAAAGTGTTTAAACTAGTATCAAACTAGATACTATTATACTATAACAAGTATCAATACAAAAAAATATAGTTTTACCTAACTATTATAGAAAGGTCTTGTTCTTTATCAAAACCACATGGCAATATTAAAGAAACTATACTATTATATACTATTTACATTCTATTGTCCATAATATTCTGGTATTGATCTTGTATTGAGACTTGTCCCAAATAGCAAAACTGAGTTTGAAATTTTAGTAGTATATGTAATATATTTAGGACCCTCTGTCCAAAACAGAAATCCTTTTTCACACTGTATGCCGGACAGTGGGGTGTAACATACATTACATAAACAGTAACCTGTCTCCTGTGCAGGTATTCACAGCATAAAATGACAGGTGATGGCAGGTGGTGTCAGCTGTGGGGCCCCTGTTGCTCCTGCCTGCCCCTGCCGCTCTATTAAGCGCTGATTGTGGACAGATCGAGTCTCATCTTGAGTGTGAGGAGGACAATTTGAAACTAAACCTAGTGCCGTCGTGTCACTGTGTTGAAACGTGCCTTCAGTCTGTCAAGGTCATTGGCTGTGCAGAGTGTGTCATAAGGCAGGACAGATAGTGGTGCTGATTGCTGGGGGAAATGGGAATCGGCTCCAGTGGCTTAGTTTTATGATTTCACTCCGAGCAATTCCAGAGCGCAGAATGAATGTCTTAATACCAGGCAATGAACTCCGTGGAGTGGAGAGTTATCTTGAATAGATGAGTATTCATTTGCAGACACACTTACACCGACACACAGGGAAATCATCTCTGCTGCTTCTCATGTGTCATCTCCTACCTTAAGTGAACTATGGATTTTTTTCACTGTACACACCAGAGATTGGGTTGATGAGATTCTATGATGAGAAACGTAACAAAATTACTCACTAAAAATTATTCACTATAATGCCACTAGAAGGAAGCTGGTTTACGGTTGTGATAAATGTAGTAGAAACCTGAAATATCGCTTTAGTTTTTTGAATTACAGAATTGTAGAATTGTCAAAAGGGATGCACCGATTAAGCCGATTTCATTTAAACAAAAATGATATTAGACAAAACTGATCCAAATGTAGCTGTTATTCATTCCTCAAGTAAGCACTTGTATAAATACAAATTCAAACATGTTACATCAATTTACATGTCCAACCAGGGTATCGACTAACCCCGAATTCACAAAGGGAGCTCCAGCAGCGCTTAACGTAGGCGGAGCTGCGCGTACGCGTCAATTTCAAAGTTTCAATTCACACCAGAGCGTCAGAGACGCTCCTGCTACGCAGCCTGCACATCTTCTCACTGTTTTCAGACATCACATTTTGTACTTGCTTTTTATCATTTATTTTATGTTAAAGTGTATTAAGTTAGAATGTGTATTAAGTGTATTGTGAATTAAGTGTACAACTGCAACGCATTTGCGTTTAATGAGGTTTAAATCTATTAGCACGCACATTAGACACCTCAGTTTTTTTCCCTCAATAAGGTCAAATCACGTATAATTAACATACATTATGAGTGTGATTAAAATCATACGTCCGTCCAGGTAATAAGGCCGATACGTTTATATGTTGTTACAGAGTCCTGCACCGATGGATACGGGAAAATAGTCGCTGAAACGGGCGAGTTTTAACGTTCTGGAATTTTAAGGGCGGGTCAGGACTAATTCAGGTCTAAACCAGGTCTAAACCATGACTAAACCCGGACTAAATCAGGGCTAAACCAGGTCTAATCTTGGAGAGAAAGAGAGATAGCGAACCCTGAGCCCCGCGGAGCAGGTGTCTGAAAAGCGCGACGGCTGCACGTACCTCTTCTCCAAGCTCTGCACCGGTCCTTTCGCCCGCGGACACTCGGGGCTACACGGAAGGACCTCCGAGCACATTTCAACAGTGGGTCCTGGTTTAGTCCTGGTTTAGTCCTGAGTCCTTGTAGAATTGGTGTCTGACATCGTAAATCACGTGCGCGTTGTTTACATCGCTGTCTTGACTTTGGTTAAATTATTTTGAAAGGGTATCAAAAGTTTATTTTGACACCGCGTGTTTATTTCCTGTCTTTCCCCTGCTAAAAACCTTGGCGACGCGCCGTTGACGCTGCATAATTGGAAGTCCAACCTATCTCTAGCAGCGCGTCAGCGTCAGACGCTCGTTGGACGCGCGTATGACACTGTCGGTGTTACACTGTCAGACCGGTTAAAATGGAGTTTTAAAGCAGCGCGTCTGCTGCTCGTGTGCTTACGCGCCATTGCGCTTTGGTGTGAATTGGGGGTAATCAGTATGTGGAAGCCCATATCCATATCAGCAAAATGTTCAGTATTGGTGCCAATATCCAATACCAGGATCATATCGGTACATCACTAAGTGTTAAAGACCATTGCTATTACAGTTAAGGTCAAGAGACTTTATAGGCTATCTATGGTTTTCAGAAAGGTGAAAAATTATTACCTATTGCCTTAGCGATTAACTATTTAAAACAAATGTCTTTTGCATGTAACAGGAAATGTAAACTCATATATGCAGTGTTGAACTATTTTGAAGTTTGTTTATATTTTGGGTGCTCGGTGTCGCTGCTTTGAGACAGATATTTTTAAAGTTGAGCTTCAATAAATGATGCAGATCCTGAAGGTGCCGTGTTCGGGTGATGTGCACACTCAGCTGTCACCTTTATTAGCAGCATTTATCACTCCCCATGATGCAAGCCAACACAGAGGAGAAGAATTAGCATACTGCTGTATCAGGCTGCTCTTCTGTCTGCTGGAGAGAGCACACTGAGTAGTGTCCTCACAAATTCTCTTTTGGGATGCTCTGAGTAAGCTACACTGGGACAGTATCATTTTATGCTGTAAAAACACTTGGGATTTATTGCCCATAGGACTTGCCATCAATACAGCGCACTGCAGATAAATTAACCCAGTGTCACCCCAGCCCCACCACAAT